TTACGTATAAAAACAGATCTGATGACAAAGTTTTCTTTTTGGTATGAACACTTGCCAAAAACAGTACTTACTATTTATTGGCTAATGCTATACAAGTGTTAAAACAGAAATAAAACGATTTTGCAAATGTTTTCCTTGTCTCGTCTTTTGGCAATGAATTTAGGTAATCCACAATCCCAATGTTTTAGTTTTTTTTTTATGTAATAGGTCGGCAAACTAGCAGACGGATTACCTGATGGTAAGCAATCAGCGCCGCCCATGGACACTCGCAAAGGGGGTAGTTACGAGTGCGTTGCCGACTTTTTAGGGATTAGGGATCTGGAAATTTAGGGATTGAGGAGGGATTGGGGAAGGGAAAGGATTGGGCCTCCGGTAACCTCACTCACACGGCGAAACACAACGCAGTGGTTATTTTACGCCGGTTTTCTGTGAGGCCGTGGTATCACTCCGGTCGAGCCGACCCATTCGTGCCGAAGCATGGCTCCCCCACACTTAAACTTATTCCTCGCTTACTACGGGTTCCGTAGTAAGCGAGGAATAGTATCAAAACAATATAACATAATATTATTTAGTATTTAGGTATGCGGAGCTAAAAAAATCACCCTCTTCTAGATTCAGTGATTTGAGATCTCCAGGATCGCTTGTCGGACAGGAAGCTAAGCGAATATGATAAAATAGATATTGGAACTGAAACAACTGGCTCCGTCTACCGAAAATACATAATATTACTTGATAACGCTCTAGTTTTTGTCATTGTAAATTAAGTTCGGTTGTGGATCGCTGAAGTGCAGGCGCTGCAGCAGAGTCATGAGTCATACCACAGTCGAAAACTGATGTAAGGAAAATATTTATATACTTATTACTAGCGACCCGCGACTTTGTACGCCTGGAATAGTGACTTCCTGCAGATTTTTGGTTTAAAAACTATCCTATGTCCTTTCTCGAGTTCCAAACTATGTCTGTGCCAAAATTCACATAAATAGGTTCAGTAGTTTAGGCGTGAAGAAAAGACAGACAGACAGACAGAGTTACTTTCGCATTTATAAAATTAGTTTGGATTGGATTTGAAGCGACATCAGAAAGATCTTTCCCAACCCACGACTCGTTGCACAGCAACTTGTTGCCCAACCACTGCATCAAGCGTGCAGTTGTAACGTTATTGACTTGATCACAACAATGTGACCTGGTGTCAAAGCTGGATCCGCCCTTTATTGTGACAGACGGGAAGCTACGGAACCCTACACTGAGCGTTACTCGATTCGCTTTTGGCTGGTTTATTTTAATGGCGGTAGTTTTCATACAAACTGTCGAGTCAAAAAATCGTCGTAACTACTGGACCGATTTTAATGAAACTTGATAAACGTACATATCTAATATATGTATATCACAGTCTAAAAACTTAATTGAATACATTTTCGAATATGAGATCAGAGAGACAGCTGGAAAACGCCATTTTGCATCGGTGAAATTTTTGGGGCCGGTTAGGTTCCAGCGGACATAAAGAAACATTATTTTCAATACTTTTTTGTTCCACAGTAAAAGTAAAAAAAAAACAGAATATACTGTTTTTAGATAATGTTATGTATTTTGTTAACGTTATTTATTTTGTCAAAATTTTTATTGTTATCTTTTTTTTATGTAATAGGTCTGCAAACGAGCAGACGGATTACCTGACACCCGCAACGGAGGAGTTACGAGTCCGTTGCCGACCTTTTAGGGATTAGGGATTTGGAGATTTAGGGATTGAGGAGGGATTGGGGGATGGGAAGGATTGGGTCTCCGGTAACCTCACTCACACGGTGAAACACAACGCTGTGGTTGTTTTACGCCGGATTTCTGTGAGGCCGTGGTATCACTCCGGTCGAGCCGACCCATTCGTGCCAAAGCATAGCTCTCCCACACTTTTTATCTTACTAATATTATAAATGTCTTCGTGGGTTCGAAACCTACGGCAAGTACCAATGTGACTTTTTCCGAGTTAAGTATATGTACTTTCTATACACCACTGACATACGGTGAAGAAACCTGGGCTTATAATTTCTAATTGTAAGTTTGTTATCGCCAACCCGCATGGAGCAAGCGCAGTGATCAATGCTCTAACCTACTCAGTATGAGAAGAAGCCTTAGCTCAGCAGTGGCCACGTATAGGCTGATGATGATGATGAATAATTATAAATGCGATTATGCGATATTTATATGTTTGATACAATCACGTCAAAACGGTTGGACGGATCTGTATAAAATTTGGCACAGGCATAGGATATAGGTACTCTGGAATAGGACATAGGTGACTTTTTATCAAAATACCACGCGGGTGAAGCCGCGGGCGGAAGCTAGTGTCTGCATAATTTACTTTACTTTTCTTTCTTTCTTTCTTTCATAAATTAATGTAGATAAGTACTTATTAATTTATCCACACACTAGCATCCGCCGCTTTTCCTAAATGAGAAAAATACTACGTAACTATACTAGGTATGTAATAAGAAGTTCTTATACCTATCTCATGTATCGATAAATACCTAGTATAGTTGGAAAATCTATATATATACCCATATCTACATATGCATATGGTTACCTACTATTTATAATCTTTTTATTTCTTCTCGAAAGCGGCTACAAGTGGCAACGGTCATAAAATTATTCAGCCACAATTACTGGAATTGATATCATCGGTTTTATATTATCGTGAATCATTCGTACGGTCTCATCAATTACCGATTGACAAAATTAATTCAACATTGTCTCCTGGCTTTTTATTTGGCAAACTTTTTTATGCGTCATCGCCCATTTCTTATATGTTCAGAAATTATTCTTCGATTGATTTTTCTATCTTTAGTTCTATGTATTTTATTACAGTCATCATCATCATCATCATCATCCGACTATAAGAACTCACTGCAAAGGCCTCTTCTCACACGGAGAATGTTTGAGCATTAATCGCCATGGTTGCTCGATGCGGATTGGCGATTACAAACTTATAATTAGAAGTTGTAAGGTTGTGTTTCCTCACGATGTTTTTTTTTTATTTTATTTACTAGCTTTTGCCCGCGACTCCGTTCGCGTGGAATAGTGACTTTTTGCAGATTTTTGGTATACTTAAAACCTATCTCGAGTTCCAAATTATGTCTGTAAGTAGGTACCAAATTTCACAGAAATCGGTTCAGTAGTTTAGGCGTGAAGAAAAAACAGACATACAGACAGAGTTAGGTAATGTCGCATTTATAATATTAGTAGGTATAGATTTATGATTTATTGTAGGCACACAATGTAATGAAGTTGATACAAAACACGGACTTAATGCCGTAATATGGCATTCTCTACCAGTCAATCTTTTGATATTGTGAAAAAACTTAGTTACATAATACGTAACGCACCTGAAGCCTTTTTAAGATGGTATAAGATACACGTTTTACGGCTTTTTTTAGATATAATTTCGATATTTAGGCGCACTTTGTATGTATCTTCAACGATATTATTATGCTAAATTGGAGTACCTAGTCAGTTGGGTTGCGGGAGTAATAATTTACCGCAGCAGGAGAAGGAACGGGGTGGTGTTTAGTCAGTCTGACGTTCCACTCATTTCGTTGCCACTCAAGGAAAGAGGAAAAAGAGAGGCCGCTACAAGAAATGAGCATCGGTCTCCTCTTATACATAATATAACGTTTTAGATTTATTTTCTACACGCAACAATTGGGTAGTTTCCTAGGTCAAAAATAAATTAATTCGATGTTTCAATATCTACAATAAAATGTTGAAAAATATGTATACTTTTATTCATCGATCGATCGATACACTGAGTTTTAGATATTTTTTAAGTAATACATAAGTACCTAAACTATTTGACGCAAAAAAACTCAAGTTTTTCATACCGACAAATTTCTTAGAAAAGTATCGTTTTTGACATTTGGATAAAAGTATTGAATTTAACTAGTTGGAAACTACCATATTAAGTAGGTACACGTAATACGTCATCATGCATTGAGGGAGTTTCAAAGATTCTCTTCTGAACTCCTGGCGAAAATTGACGACATACGCCAAAATTAGGTGATAGAACCTGAACAATGCAATAAAAGTTATAATATTTTATTCCTGACCATAGACAGCTAGAGTCTAGAGATAATATTTATTGGGTTACCAATAGCAAAAAAATTCCTCACTTTTTGGTAATTCTAATTTATAATTCAGATTGACACTGTCATGAAGAAAATAAGAATAATAATAAAAACTTTTGAGCAATGAAATGAGGTTTGAGCAATCAAATATAAAGGATATTTTAATTTATAAACAGGTATGTAGGTAATTAAGCTTGCAAGTCAAAATTATGTAATTTATGTTGGTATTGGAACTTTGAATTATACTTTAAGTTTAACTTAGAAATGGCTGAGCAAATGACTGTTGCCGATCATTTGACTCTCGCAAATTCCCTTTTTAATTTTGATATGATTATAGTTGCGTTTAGAAATGTGAGACATTTTTTGTGAGCCAAACACATAGGAGTTACTCCGTATATTTACGTGGGGTTTAAGTAATAATAGACATGGCTTTATTTAATTCAGAAGGTAATTTTCAAAAATATTAAACCATGTGCTTAATGAGTGTATAAGTAACAACATAAGTACCGTTTTGAAGATAATCGTCCGACTTATCTGTTTTAAAAGGAAGTGTAGTGCTTACGTAATGCGTAGGTTTTATCTAAAAATAATTCAAATTTACTACAACCGTATAATGCATTTGTCTCTAATACAAGTAAAAAAAACTGAAAATAAAAAAAATTAAAGATTTTTGAATAAAAATCTAGAATTATTTTGAATTTCGCGCGCTTGAACTTACGCACTTAAAAACTATCAACGCGGAGAAAGTTGAAAAACTGGAAATACCAGTGCATGCAACACTATGATAGTAAAATAAAACGACAACTCTTTGTCTTTGAAAATGGGTGTGAGAGCCACCTATCGTCTATATGTGGAGTTGTCTAACAGAAAAAAAAAGTTAGTACTTACATAAGGAATATTCCGATAAAAGCCAGGAAGTTGATAAATGTCAGACTGGAGTCCATATTGTTTCCGAAACCAAAGCTTCACTGAAAATGTTCGTCCTCTGACCTAAACTGTATTTATATATAAGTACACGAATTTAGGATGGGCCCGAAACTGCCTACGGATTTTTGCTAACAGCCACCAAATTATTAACACACAATTTATCCAGAGAAACCAGATAAATCAAGTCTATTATCATTTAATAGTCCCACGAACTTTTATTATCTTGTTACGTACAGATTTATCACTTTTCCATTTCCATAAATCGTTGGAACAGCGGCTATAGGTCATGATTTTATGAATGAACATCCCTTATCAAAACACTGGAGTAGACTGCCAACGTGAAATGAACACAATCACCTTGTGTTATGTTTTTATTTTGAGTACAGATTGATATGCGCGCACTCTATCTAGTATCATAAAGTGTAACAAAGTGGTAACGCTCCAATCGCATTTTTTTTATTCCGTACTGTATTTTATTGTAGTCACGCTAAACACGTTCGCGCAAGACGACAGTCTTATAATGTTATCATTTCAAACGTTAAGATTCATGTGCATTTATAAGTCTCCTAATTAACACCAACACATGTAGCTTGTCATAATGGGATTCCCTCGATGACGATGACGAAGGATAACTGAAATATTGAAAACTTCTAGCGGAACTTGAATGTTAGTAAAGCGCCATCTAACAACGAAAGCTAGAAATATTAACATGAAAGAGCACGAAAGTGTTGAGGATTAAAAGTATAAGATAGATGTCGCTAGCCAAAATCAATGCATATTTTTTTATCTACAAATAGATATTATACCATTCGGTAATTAAAGAATACGTTTTATTTTTAATAAAACTCTATAGTTATAAAGAGTATCAATTTCTTTTTTAGGGAATATTTCAAATATTTAACGATATGCTGAAATTATCTGTGGCCGATGTTGGTAATTTTTAGTCAGAGAGTGGCAACCCAGTACACTCACGTCATTGTTTCCAATCAGTTTTAGATTCGGTACTAATCGGTGCGTCTCGCTTGTTTGTTTTGTTTACATTTTATTTTCTTTAAAAACTTTTCTAACTTCGCCGTCCTTTGTTTACATTAGTACACTAATTAACGACCAACGTATAAGTGTTGTGTGTGACTGTGATATCTTATGTAATTACATTGCAATAATATTTGCATAAGTTTAGTCATCGTTCCGTGATTATAAAGTTTTGGTTTTCTGTTTTTGTGGTTTTTTTTCGTGAGTTTTGTCAATATAAAGGGACTTCCGGATTATCACGGTGGATCATAGAGGTTAGTTTGGTTTTTTCTTATACTTCCTGATATTTGTGATTGATAATCACGTGATAATCTTTATTTTGCCTTTTTGGGTTTAGCCATAGCATTTTTTTTTCGGTCGGCACGGTTGACCTCGATTCGTAATTTAAAAGTCATCTTTTCGCTACAATCATTGCTAACTGATAATCTGAACGTGTTTTGTTATTTATTTAATTACATATTTGATTTCATAATATCAAAAATATGTTCGTAAACTTTTAACCAAACCTTTTCCGTTTTTATCAGGGATTTACAGATAAACGCAAAATCTCAAGAGATTTGATGACATTATATTTTTTTAACAAGTAAATATAGTTGAAGACTGAGGCATAGGTAACAAAATGTTTTGTTACCCAAGAACTTGGTATATAAACTTTTTTGTTTATTTTTAAACACAGTAGAGCCAAAAGTAGAATAAATCAATAATATATTTTATGTTCTCATGATTTTATAAATTACAGTATGAAAGTTAGAATACCTTTACTAAGGAGTTAACTTAGATATTCATAAACAATTCTCTATTTTTATTTTAGCATTACTTAAGTCTTGTAGTATTTAAGTACCTATTATAATAGGTGGTAGCTAATACTTTTTTTTTTCTAATGGAAACTGAGTCTCCAATTGTTGTTTTCAACTATTCTGCCAGTGATAGCTTAGTCTTAATTTTTCTAAATTAGTTTTCATTCATCATCTCTTAGTTAAGCATAGTTATAAAACCTTAGTACTTGATTAAATCAATACAGGATTACTTTGGTAAATAAACCAGATTCATAAAATACAGTTTGTGTTGGTATACCTGTCACAAAATTAAATCTTAGTTTATTAGTATTAGTCTTTCAGTCCTGGTAATTTAATACATGATAGAAGAACTATAGTTGCACAAACGCTAGCATTAACTTGGGGTTTGATATAATAAAATGATAACTGACTGAAATCTTGTTTTATTGATTTTCTATAATTATAATAAATCTTATAATAATGTACACAGTTATTCATCATGTTAATGTCATAAAACATGTACCATAAAATATTGGAATAAAACAATTATAAATATGTAATTCAGTATGAATATAAACAAGAAAAAATACATTATAATTCAAAATCAGCGTCTCATAAGACTTTAATGTGCATTCAATTCACACAGAATATTATAATATAATTTGATTTCATTGCACAAGTGTCTCCGAACATGGTCTGTGTGTGGCATACGCATGTGGGTGTTGCAATTATGTCCCACACTGCATCCTTGCTAACATCTGTTCATTGACAGTTAGAATTTATAAACATAACTGTCTTTCAAACTTTTTGTACAATATAATATTTAAAAAAATGTGTATTTTTCTTGTTTCTTTGATAGTAAATCTGTCTTATTGAAACTGTAGCCACTTGGATCTTTTAGTTCTCTTTTGAATTTGACGTTCTTGGGTCAAACAAGGGTTTTTTTAAAGACTTGTAACTCTTTACCTCCAATTTTTCTTAAAAACTGATATCCATAGCAACAAGGTCTCCATGTAGTAGATGCCTATAATTATGGATTATTGACAACAACCATCTTAATTGTGGTATGATGCCACAATTAATAGACCTTTATACATAGTAGATAGATGCTTAAGAATAAGGCAACTAACTTCATTCATTGGCTAAAAAAGAGTTTTAATTATCTTCCCATTTCTCTGAACCTGACTAGCAATAGTAATTTGCTATTTTTACATGTTACATTTGAAAACAAAAATATTATTTAGTACAATGTTATTTATAATTTGTTGAATGAAGTTCATTCATTACAAAACTTTGTGCGAGTTACCAATAGGTAAATGTACATAAATGTTATGTTGTTTTAACGGACAATATTGATGAGAGTACAAATAAAATATTGTTGCATTTTTTTGTCAATTTTATTTAATAATTGAGATTAGTTTTTTGCATATAGTACCTAAAGTGTGTAGTTAATTTTGATTAATCTCAGTTACTGTGGTCGACAGACTCGTTCCGTAATAAAACGCAATATAATTAAAATCTAGATACCCCTATATGTATATTACTAATTATAAGTTTGAAATCGCCAAGCCGCATTTGGCAAGTGTGGTGATCAACGCTCTAACCTTTCGTTTGAGAAGAGGTCTTTGCTCAGCAGTGGGCACTTATAGGCTGATGATGAAATGATGAGTGAATGAAATACCCTTATAGCGTAAAATTATTAAAAAAAAATAGTTAGTAGTTACTTCTATTATGATACTAGCTCCTACCGTGCGGTTTCACTCGCTGCTCGGCTACTACAAATCGTAGCGTGATGTATCACAGCCTAAAGCCTTCCACGATACATGGACTAACAAACACAAAAATAATTATCCAATTCAATTCAATAGTTCTGGAGATTAGCACATTTAACGAATTAAGTAAACAAAATCTCCAGCTTTCACAAGACATTAACGTACACAAAATTATAATTTCGAAGATATATTTCTAATACACCATACATGTAGGAAAAACTTAGTGTTTACGAATGTCCTAAGGGCACAACGGATAGCACTTTCTATGTGAAATCTATGGTACTGCTATTATACAACCATTCATTACTATTCCACTGATGTGCCGTTTGCTTTGCAAGCTGCTAAGATAGTAATTATATTATATCTCTCAATATTACTATGCCGACTCACTTGTAAACGCATCTTAGCAGATCAAACAGTATTCCAATAAGTTCCAGAAATGTTATGTGTCCTATAAAACAGCAACAAAATTGGTGCAGCCGATCGCTAGAAAATCGCGGGAAAAGGTACAAACGTATAGTTCAGTTTGAGAACCTCCTTTTACGTAATGCAATACTCAATCTGTTAATCAATTTGACCGATAACATCACTGTACTCTGTAGTAGTGAGTAAAAAGGCATATCTCCTACAGATATCTTCAGATGACTAATTATCACTTAAATCTTAAGGTTACTATTCACAGTAGGTACTCTTAAAACGCCATATGCTAAAGCGAACTACTAAATGCAACTTTAATAAGAATAGGTTTTCGGGAGAATTTTCATTTCTGTCTTCCAGAAGGTTTTTTTGTAAACAGGAAAAATTGTAAAGGACATTTGTTTCCATTTCAATAAACCAATAGTCTTTTAAAAACTACACTGTATGACGGATTTTAGTTATTGCATAAATGTTTTTCACGCTGGCAGGTTAATTTTCAACCAAAAAACAAATGCCAATCTCGTTATTTATTTCGTCATTTCGAATGTAAAAACTATTCGTTCTGCCATCTGACTACGTAGATGTACAATACGAACTACTATTAGATTAGTACATTGTCCAAAAACAACAAAAAAAGACGCAAATATCACTGATGACACGGCACAAAAAGAAATACCTAACTGCAAAGTAACTTAAGAAATTCCTCATGAATATTGCTCTACATTTGCTTACACTAATGATGATGCGGATTACCAGAAAGTGCTTCGGGGCAAAACAAGAACCACTAATTCAAACTAATCATAAAGAACCATCCGCAAGTCGCAACTTATCCGTCATTACGTCAAGATAATGCCCCTGATCTTCCTTAGAAACCATCTTTGCCCAGTTTTAACTTTCTAACGCCTACTGCGGTTATCGCGGACCATATTAGTCATAAACGCGATTGTTTTAAGAGTGAGAGTGGCTTGCGGTTTTAGAACACAGGGTCTCGATTCTGCAGGCAATTATGGATGACATCATGCCTAGTCTAGACTATAGTTTGCAAGATACTTGTGTTTTTAGGGCAACGGAAAAAAGAAGCCTGTCCTACGTACGCTTATGGCGTAATGGTATCATGAGCGACTATTTTGAATAACCCAAAAAGGAGTTTGAACATAACCAGCTAACTAATATGGAATGGAATTTTGGTAGATGTTGAAAAAATGGCACGACAATAAGGTTGTATTTTTTGACAAAATATTTTAGATATCTGCCAAATTTAAAGAAGACTAGAAACAGGAAAAATGGAGGCAATGCTTTATAGTAAACAAGGTAGAAAGACCAAAAATATAATAGGAATTGTTTATAAAAAAGAAAAGATTCTCGAAGATACTACGAAACTAAAATAACATAGCCATCGCTGAAAATAGGAGAACCAATTAAAACAACTACAATTACTACAAATATTTCCATCGACAACTTGGAAGGAACTCATAAAACAAATTGTTTAAACGCCATTCCTTACGAAAACGTGACTGGTTAAAATTTAAATTTATTCAAAATAGCGCTAAACGTATACGCATACAAACATATTTATAGATGGATAGATACATTAATGCGTTTGCTAACTATTTACTAGTTATGGGTTTCTAGGATGTGAGATTTGTTTTCTGGTTTGTTTAGTAAGTTTGGAGACCTGGTTAAATAGTTGGTTAGTTAATCACAGATTAATGCCCGGTTTCCGAAAGCCCGAGCAATGTTAAAATCAACTAACTAGGTGTCAAATCTCTTGTCAAGTTGTCGGATTGGTTGTTGATAATTCAGTCAACCAATCAGATGGCTTGACAAGAGATTAAATTGATTTTAACATTGATCGGCCTTTCGGAAACCCGGTGTAAATGAAATCAACAAAGGCTGTATAGTCCTACTTAAAATATTACTAATGTGAATGTTTGTAAGAATGTATCATGCATGTTGGTTATTCTTTCACGCTAAGTGGCTGAACCAATTTGTTCGAAATTTGGTCTGTAACGGTGGCGGTCAGCTCGTTTGCCGACTTATCACATAAAATAAAGCGAACCTCAATTCTTGTGTAGCTCTGCTATTGTATAGACGTGATGATAAAAATTTCTGTTACGTAACTCCACAAATAAACCCGATGCACTAACTACTTCCAAACGCGATCACCTTCAAAATAAACTATAACATCTATTGCATTAAGGATTCTACTAAAACCAAAATGGTGTCTTGTCACGCTCAATGCGTTTTCTCACACCACATTAATGGGAGAGCGTCCAATTGAGAGCATTT